CTGTTGACAAATGTGCTTCTTACATAACTTCGTGGATTCAGGCTGGCATGGAATCCTTTATTCCCTCTCAACGATTCCAGGTCAAGCCTCACTCTTCTCCATGGTTTTCCTCACATTGTGCTGCTGCAATTGCCAATCGAAACCATTACTTTCATATCTATCAGCAAAACAATTCTCCAGAAAACAGAAGTCTCTTTATTACTGCTAGGAACCATTGTAAAAAGGTTTTGTCTAACTCCAAAACCCGCTATTCTTAGATCATGAAATCTCGTATTTCATCACAAAAATTAGGCTCTCGTGACTTGTGGAGAATCTTTAATAGTATCAATAATAAGGGCAAGTCTGTAATTCCACCTCTTTTGTACGGTTCAGACTTTGTCACCTCACCTAAAGACAAAGCTGAATTGTTTGCCAAGAACTTTTCATCAATATCATCTCTTGATGCCACTAGTTGCGTTTTACCTGATATACCCGTCAAACAGGTTGATCCATTGCTCAACATTTGTATCACTCCAGCTTCTGTATCTAAAGTGATTTCCCGCTTAGACTCTTCTACAGCTTGCGGCCCGGACAAAATACCTGTTATAGTCTTGCAGAAGTGTTCTCCTGAGCTGTCGTCTATCTTTTCAAAACTATTCAACAAGTGCTTATCAGAGTCTTGTTTTCCAGCCTGCTAGAAAGCAGCATCTGTTATCCCTATTTTTAAAATTCTGGAGAGCGATCTGACTCATTTAACTACCGTCCCATTAGTCTTCTTCCTATCATAAGCAAGGTTTTTGAATCTTTAATTAACAAACACTTAATCTCTCATCTCGAATCTCATAACCTACTTTCTGATCATCAGTATGGATTTTGATCTTCTCTACGGCTGATTTGCTATCAGTAATAATCGATAGATTTTATCGCGCATTAGATAAAGGTGGAGAGGTTAAGGCCATTGCTCTTGACATTTCTAAAGCGTTTGATAAAGTTTGGCATGCTGGTCTCCTCCATAAGCTTTATTCTTATGGTGTATCTGGAAACATCTTTAAGATTATTGAATCCTTCCTTTCCAATCGTAGTATAAAAGTTGTCCTTGATGGACAGCACTCTTCTTCTTATTCTGTAACCTTAGGGGTTCCCCAAGGTTCAATCCTTGGCCCTATACTCTTTTTAATTTACATTAACGATCTTCCAGATATTCTCACATCTAAGGTGGCATTGTTCGCTGATGATACTACCATTTATTCTTGTCACAATAAGAAGCCAACTCCCACTGATTGCTTGCAGGGGGCATCTGAGCTCGAAAAAGATCTCACTTCTGCTACAGCATGGGGCTCGCAGTGGCTGGTGAACTTTAATTCAGATAAAACTCAATTTTTTTCGGCTCAATTTTTTTTGCTTCCTTCATCTTGCTTTCCTGATTCATATAATTTGCAATCTTTTAAGTCGTCTGTCAATCGTTATCTTGCTCTACAATCTTCATCTTTTCTCTTCCAGTAACTTCCAACACTAATTAGTGGTTGCTTGCAACCTTGTTGGAAGCGAAGATAATTAAAAAAAAAAAAAAAAAGTTATAAAGCTGTAGGAGAGTTATACCAACAAACTTTTTTAAATATATATAAATTATATCTAAATATATATAAATTAACTATGTATTACATATTTTATTATTTATTACTTTGGATTTTTTCAAGCAAAATGCTAGACTGTTTTTCTCAAAATAAAAATTATTACTTTCTCATGAAAATTAAAAAATTCATTTAATATAAGTTCATTGAAAAAATGTGATAAAATTCACCATGTACTGCAAGAGTAGTTGGATTGGATAATATAATAATTTTGTGAGAATTAATTATGCTGTCCCAACATTGCAACAGTTTCCTCATCTGAAATTGCAATATAATTGGAAAATAATCAATCACAATCTATAACTATATCAATCCACAAGTTATAATGTCATGTTTGAAGTACTAATTTCATCAACGTTTCAAGAAACTTCATTTTACTACAAAGACTTTCTATTCTTGATAAATTGAACTTTGGAAATTTAGCTGTATCTATTTTTACCAATTTTGTCCAAACTCAAAAATTTAGGACATTTTTTTTCTGTTCTTTTTTATGATAATTATTGTTTTTTTGCAAAAAAATGAGTACATATGTCAAGTTTTCTTACTGTAAGGCGTCGCCGTGGAATTACCGCCACCCAAATTATTTTCCTAGAATATATATATACAGGCTTCGGCAGGAATAAAAACCGTACGGGCTATGAAAAGCCCGTCTTAAATAGACTTGACGGGCTATGAGGGCTGCCCGTCTAGATGGTCTTGCACGGGCTTTTTTAAACTTTAAAAAAAATTCTAAAGTTTGAACTTTTTTTTTTTTTTAAATTGTTAATTTCTCTTCTTCTTTTTGAATGAAAATGTCATTGAATATTAAACATTTTGTGAATTGCACTAAAATAATATGTTAGAAAGCGATTAACTGTTTAAAATGCTTAATTACTTAAGTAATTAAAACACTGCCGTAAATGAGTTGGATAATACTTAAAACTAAGATTTCAATAATTGTTTTTCAAAGTTTTCACTTGCACAGATCTAATTTCGTTTCACGTGGGTTAGTTGTTTTATGGTTGCTTTTGTTTAAATTTCTTACTCGAAGGAACTTTATTCAGTTTTTTATGTTTTTTTTTTTTAATCTTTATTCCAGATAATATCTGGCAGATATAGTCAAACGAATGAACGTGAAAACGACGGGAAAAATCCTCAAAACAACCATGGCGTTTCATCACGTTTCCTTATTCAAGCATCCTAACGCGTTTTTTTACCGAAGTCTTTTTGAGTATATTTATATATTATTGTTTTATTTAAGTATTCGATTAAATTATACAGGTTTTTATCGTGCTTTTTTAGTTCATTCGTTTCTCTTATTCTTTGTGAATAAAAATATTACATAATATTTTCAAAATCTAATTTTTTTAATTATTCAGCAAATAGTTTGAAATCTTTTTTTTTTTAACCTTGAATCAATGAGCTCGATAGTTTTAGAATTGTTTGGTATTAGCTTGGTAATATGATACGTAACTATGTTATTTTTCAAATTCAGTTATTTATATACTCTTGCATTCTATTGGGCGTACTAATTAAAAACTTAAACTGTTATTTATATTTTTATAACTTTGCTTTACCTATGCCTATCCTGATCGGAAATAGTTATTCTGATACGTGAATAAAAAATTTGAAATCTAATTTCTTTTAATAAAATAAGTTTTTATTTAGAAGTACTAATAATTTCTTAAGATACCGGGGCTTCCGTTACTTTATATACAATATAAGCATGTATATAAGCGTATGTATGTTGCTAGCTTTAACGTTCGTAGTGCCCTCTATAAATGCTAATGCTTTTGATTTTGCCAGACCTTTTAACTCGCGAAGCAATTCTTTTTTATATTTTATACAAACCATACACCATATCTTCACAAAAAAAATTGTTCCATTCTCCACCTCAGTTTCTTTTCCACAGACTCCATCTTTACCCCAACTCAAAAATGTTGCTAATGTAACTCTTCTACCAGATGATGCCATTACTATCTTTACTGAAAAACTTGAATAACTTGAAAAACTTGAATGACTGGATAACTTGAATAACTTCATAACTATAAAGCAACACTATTTATATTATCTACAAAAATTGATTAGACGTTTGTTGATTTTTAATGAGATATTTCATTTTCAATAACGAGTTATATAATTGCATATTAAATAAACTGTCGTCTTTTTAAGAAAAAACGTGAAGTTAACGCGGAAGTTAACGCGGAAATATCACTTTAAATGTCTTTAAAGTAAGACAAACTAGTTTATCGGAAAAAAGCGAAATACATGGATAATTAGTTTATTATCGTTATTATTATAAACATTGAAAAACCAAAACAACATGATACTTTTTGTGCATCACATGTGTATATTTCCCTATTTAATATAATAGTTATTAAATTTTGAACATAATATAGTAACTGTTTGGTATTATATCAAACAGTTATCGTCGTTTAAAAAACTGTAAGATTTAGTTATATTATTTTCTACATCATGTTATACAATAATGATTAAATTGTTTAATTTTTATATTTAAATATAAACAATTATAAGTTGGAGTTTGCTATCCATATTAAAATTATGTCATGAGAGAAGTTTTAAAAGAGTATCTTAATAAAAAAACATCAAAATATTCATCTTTTTTTTTTACACAAAACTTATGTTTCAGACGGGCTTTATTTCGCCCGTCTAAACTGACTTAGACGGGTGCGGAGACGGACACGGGCTATAGCCCGTCATTTCTGCCGAAGCCTGTATATATATATATATATATATATATATATATATATATATATATATATATAAAATCTTTGAAAGTCATTTTCTTGTTATATGATAAAAGTATGTAAAATTCAATAAATATGGCTGCGTATAAAAGTTTTTGAAAAAATATATATTTGTTTTTATAAATTTTACATATATATATATATATATATATATATATATATATATATATATATATATATATATATATATATATATATATATATATATATATATATATATATATATATATATATATATATATATATATATATATATTATATATAATAACCCCTGTAATAACCCCTCAGCCTTAAGGAGATGAATACATAAAATTTTTATTTAGATTACAAAAAACCTTTGAGCACAACATGCAAAGTAAAAGAAAAATTTTAACATACCAGGGTGTTAGCCAGCCTAATGGCACCACATATACCACAAAAATTTCCAAAATTCAATAAACTTTTTTTTATGTGACACCATTAATAATTTTGTAGAACAATTGTAATGAATATTACCAATATTGCAAAAACTCGGAAAAAATATATTTCTGGCTAACACCCTGCATCATTTTTTGAATATTTTTCAGACGCGCACAAATAATATAATAATAATATTCACAAAATATAACTATTTATACTAATTAAATGGAAAATTTAAATTCACCTGCCCAGGAAACAATGAATAATTTTTGGCCTCTGATAAATCTATCGGCATTCTTTTTCCAGTTGAAAATTCCCTACTCCCCTCTAAAACAATGGATTTTGAATTAAGTCGACCCACTGAATCACAACAGATACGGCCAGTTATATGCAACACATCCTTAAAAAAGAATTCTTTAACTTTAGTAATGCAATGTAGAATCTATTAATATTGTATTAATAGCGCAATGCAATTTAAAATTTAAAAAAAGACAATAAAGAAAGATAACAGTTATAAAAACATACTAAGTACACATTAAACTAGAACCGTAGTGAAATCGTTTCATATAAGCATAACCATTTCATTTGTAACAGTATGAAGATACTAATAATACTTTAACAACTCATATGATACAGATTTATTTATAGTCTTTAAAGTAGATTGTGATTCTATAGTAAGCCACTTGTCTTCTTAAAACATATTGAAATGTTTTACAAAGCACAAAATCGAAATGTGAAATAAAAAAATTACCAAAATGCAAGAAAATAAGAATGCAAGTTGAAAAAGATTCTAAAAATATTATTGAAACACATACACCATGAAATTTTGAATATAAAAATTTGAACTGAAATAACAGAGCGTACATTTGTGTTAACATAACATAAACGATTTTGTTGTTAATTCTTCTATATCTTTTAGTGCTTTTAAATCAACATAAAGCTACATAAGCAGTATATGATAAACCTTTGCTTTGAAATTAAACAATTTTAATGACTTATCAGTTTAAATAGGACAAATAGTATAACCTACAAATAACCTGTAATTAAAGTGCTATAAACTGCTTCTTAGTTTTTATAACATAAACAAAATTATATAAGATGTAACACTGTAAAATTACCTCTGTTTTAATTTCTAAACTGTCAAAATCATCAATCATTAGGTTTTGTTTCATTTGATTTGATAGTGTTGTTATTATATCATTAAGAACTAAAAAAAAAAAAAAAAAAAAAATCAGCACGTCTATAAACATAAAGAAATATTCAGCAGAGAAAGAAATCAGATAATCTAGAAATTAAAAAAAAAAAAAAAATTGAGAGAAATAAATATCAACAATAAGACTCAGATTTAAAATTTTTTTCCTATAAGGGCATTTACTAAAAAGTCACACAGGGAAACTAGTATATGTTTTGTCTATTATTTTCATAAAAATAAAACTCTCTAATTTACTCTCATTTAATTCTAATATACATAAATATTTTGTAAATAATGGTATTCACTAGTAATATTATCAAACAATGGTATTCACTAATAATGTTATCAAACAATGGTATTCACTAGTAATATTATCAAAGAATAAATTAAGTTTGAAGCATAATCACGCACAGAATAGAAAAACACAAAATTTAGTTACTAGATAAATTAACTTTAATTCTTCGGAAGATATAAAGTTAGCATACTTTTTTTTAAATAATATTTTAGATATTAGTAAAGATTTCCAGAAAGTTGAAAAAAAAAGTTATTTTTCCAGAAATTCACAGGATTGCACTATGTATCAAAGAGTCACAGCAACCGTTTACATGCAGTTTATGAATGATGATGCACGAAAGTCAAGCACGGAAGGTGCGAATGTGTCAAATTTATGTAGTTATTTTTATGAAAATAAATTGCTCGTGAGTATTTCAAGAGAAATATTATATTTCTACAACTCATATTTAATATATTTTTGATGAGAAATAGAGTAATAAAATATTTCTAGCTAGAGTATAACATTTTGAAAATTATTGTATAGTTTTATAACGATTGTGACACAAAAAAATAAAATGATAAAAATATATATATTTAATTTATTCAGGTAGCCTAAAATATGATAAAAATATTTTTGTTTGAATTGCTCTTTAAGAAAATCAAAGTATGCATATTGTTATAAGTTCCAGTCTCTAATTGTTAAAACAACTAAAAATAAAAATCACGAACAGAAATGGAAATGCCCATCATTTAATGTTACAATGATTTTAACTTACTGTCAGCTTTGATTTGAATTTTCTGGAACATATGCTTGTAATTATTGCGAACATTATATTCAGGGTAATTGTTAACAGTTACATCTTTTCCAACACCTTTCCATTCCATGTTTTCAGAAGCCCCATATGTACAAAGAACTTCAGCTTTTCCAACACGAGATTCAAACTTTGCAGATGGAGTTGAGCTAAATATATTTTAAAAAACAAAACACTTAGCACTATACAAGATACATATTTGCCATACAAGTATCTTGTATAGTGGTAAGTTTTTGAAAAAAACCTTAATAACAAAATAAAAAAAAAGCTTACATGCCAGGAGATAGCGATGACGGAGAAAAATTGACTGGCGTGGAAATAAAAGAGGCAACTTTTTTATTTGGTAAGTAACCATCAGGTGCATTACGCAATCTTTTAGTACTACAGGGCTAAATGTTAATATAGAGTTTTAAGTAAGTTTTTTGTCTATATGTATAAATTATTTGTATTGAGTTAATCAAAAAATTTTAATTACAAAAATTTATCTAAACAAAAATTCTGAATTTTTTAATTTAAATCATGCAATACAAATTTTGCAGATAAGTCTATCTACATAGATATTTAAATTTGTTTTTATTTCAATTTTATTAGTTTTTAATTCATCTAAAAAATCATCACTATTTACATCAATCAATAAATCATTCTTACAATAACATATTATATTATTATCTTAATACAATCATTCAATATCAATATACAAACATCTCATCCTATAATAATATTCCAAACCACAATAAAAACAAAAAAGTTGAATTCTACCTTAGATTTAGGTGTTGTAACATAACTTTCAATAACATTATCGTCATCATCATCATATTGCTTTGCTTCTCTGCAGAAATTTAAATATGAAAAATTTTATTGTCATTATATATACAACAAAAACTTATTATTTATAAAACAAAAACTTCTTTCCTTAAATAGTTACACAACAGAAGGTAAAAGTTACCGTGGGAAATTGTGATACTGTGAAACTGTGGAATTACTGTGAAAACTGTGGAAATATTTCATTACTGTGAAAACTGTAAAAATAATTCATTCGGTGGAAACTGTGAAAATGTTTCATTCGGTGGAAAATTGTAAAAATATTTTAATTTCTTAAATGTGGTAAAAATTGTTGATAGTCATGATTTTATGTTACTTAAACCAAAATTTAACATCAGTCAATAAACATCATGTCATATTTTTCAATAAACATTGAAAAATGTGACATGATGTATCCAGGCTGAATCTGATAATGGTATACCCGTATGGGCCCCCAATTTCTGCCCAACTCAACTTGAAAAAATTTTATATTAGCACCAAGGTTGTCAAAAAAAAAATTAAAATAAAACAATTCTTTATTACTAATTGTGTTTGTGATAAAAATTTGTAGGATAATTATAATTATGATGATAAAATTTGTTATGATAATTACAAAATTGTTATTGATGTCATCTAGAAAAAGCAGCATTTGAAAAACGACTTTTAAAACAGATTATATATGTACTTCAAGTCAATCAGAATGCTTAATTCAAATTCACCTGGATGAAATATATATTACAATTGGATTAAAATGTAAAATGCACATTTTGATTGGATTAAAATATGAAACATATAGCGTTTTATATTTTTAAATAAAAACATAAACTTTATAAAAATATTCTTCTATAATCTACATCTTCTATAATAACTCTATAAGCATTAAACTTTTTCATTTCAAATAACAGCAAAATTGCATTAAAAATATTTTGAATAATCAGATAAAACATAATAACATTATAATAATCACACCAAAGAACTAAAAGTAAGGAAGAACAACAAAAAAAAAGTTAACTTTTGAATGACCTAATTAATATTTTGAACTAATTGAATTTACAATAAATAGGCTATGTAATAAATCTTTTTAGTCTATATAAAAGAAAAATACAAATATTATTTATTAAATCTTTTAGATATATAGTTATCGCTTGCTTATTAAATGTTATAGTTACTTGTGGGTACCCACGAAGTGTACTCATTAGAGAAGCAATAAGGAAATAATTTTGATTTTATTCTTTATTAGTAAACAAATAAAGCATGTAAATGGCGAATTGATGTTGGTGTTAAGCTATTATGTTGTAATAAATGTAACATTATTTTGGTTAACCATTTATATTTTTAGAAAACATAAAGTATACATATACACGACAAACATTCTATAGCAGAATTTAAGTGGACTTATATAAGCAAAGCTACACTTCAATATACACTGCAATAAACAAAACCTACAAAGAAAATAATTTTAAAAAAAATATGAATATATATATATATATATATATATATATTTATATGAAGAGTTTATTTTCAAAACACGGTAAGGGACATTAAAAAAAAAAAAACGTAGAAATTGTGAGATTTATTTTTAGTTTATAAGGACCTAACAGACATTGTGTCTGAATATATGCTGAGCAAAGTATAACCCTATATTTTTCTACTTCTAAAAAATATTTATTTTGAAAACATGGTATGGAATTTTTAATTTATTTTGAAAATGGGGTATTTAATTGTGACCAATTCGTGGCAAATGTATATTACTTCTGTTCAAGGGCAAAATTTGTAATGAAATGACGGATTGTGATGGACAAGATTAATGCGTTATCTAATCTCCTATTTCACATAGATAAAAAAATAAAATGCTTAAAACAAGAAAAAAAAAAGCATTTCTTTATTCTAGTGTTTGTTTATACTTTCATACTTATTTTGTTTAACTGAATTGATTATGGAATGATGATGGAAAATATATTAAAATGACAAATTATTATTTTTAAATATCTTCACTTCCAACAAGGCTGCAAGCAACCACTAATTAGAGTTGAAAGTTACTGGAAATAAAAAGATAAAGATTTTAGAGCAAGATAACGATTGACAGACAACTTAAAAGATTGCAAATTATATGAATCAGGAAAGCAAGATAAAGGAAGTGAATTCCAAAGAACTGATATTCGAGGAAAAAACTAGACGAATAAGAGTTTTTGGAGCACTTAGGAACAATAACAGAAAAAGGATGAGACTTAATTGAATGACGAATAACATGAGAATGAATTTTAGCAGATGGCACAAGAGACGCTAGCTATTTAGAGCAGAGCCCATTTTAGTATTAGTAGAAAAGAAAAAGAGAAGCAACATTACGACGATGTGATAATGGTTGAAGGTTGGCTGCAAGAGCAGGTCCAACTATGTTTACAATGTGTTTTTACACCTTGTCTAAAAGAGAAAGGGGATCGTTAGAAGATCTGCCCCAGGTATGGCAACAGTATTCTATACAAGGCCGGATTTGAGATTTATAGAGAGAATAGAATCACGAGTAAGAAAGTATCAAGCTCGCTAAAGAGATGCAACTTTAGCAGATGCTAATTTTGTGACAGATTTGATATATGGTTACAAGAAAGATCAGAAGTAAGAGAAGATCGAAATCTATATTGATGATCAAAAAGTAAGTTTTTAGATTAAAAACTTTTTAGAACAAAAACCTTGCTTATGATAGGAAGAAGACTAATGGGACAGTAATTAGACGAATCAGATCGCTCTCCAGAATTTTTGAAAATAAGGATAACAGATGCTGCTTTCCAGCAGGCTGGAAAGCAAGACTCTGATAAGCATTTGTTGAATAGTTTTGAAAGTATAGACGACAGCTCCGGAGAACACTTCTAAAAGACTATAACAGGTATGTTGTCCGGGCCACAAGCTGTAGAAGCAGGAAATCACTTTAGATACAGAAGCTGGAGTGATACGAATGTCAAGCAATAGATCAACCTGTTTGACAGCTATATCAGGTAGAACGTAACTAGTGGAATCAAGAGATGATATTGATGAAAAGTTCTTAGCAAACAATTCAGCTTTGTCTTTAGGTGAGGTGACAAGTCTGAACCATACAAGAGAGGTGGGATTACAGATTTGTCCTTACTATTGATGCTATTAAAGATTCTCCAGAAGTCACGCAAGCCTAATTTTGTGATGAAATATGAGATTTCATGACCTGAGAATAGCAGGCTTTGGCATTAGATAAAACCTTTGTACAATGGTTTCTAGCAGTAATAAACAGATGTCTGTTTTCTGGAGAATTGTTTTGCTGATAGATATGGAAGTAACGGTTTCGATTGGCAATTGCAGCAGCACAATGTGAGGAAAACCATAGAGAAGAGTGAGGCTTAACCTGAAATTGTCGAGAGGGTATAAAAGATTCCATGCCAGTCTGAATTTATGAAGTTATGTAAGAAGCACATTTGTCAACAGGAAGACAAAAGATTTCTACAAAAAGGGCTATCACAAAGAAAATCACAGAAAGAGTCCCAGTCAGCTTTAAGGTAGTTGTAAGAGGTACGATGATAGGGGGATTCAGATGATGATGAAGAATGAGATAATAGTTTTAGAGAAATTAAACTGTGATCAGAAACACCTAAGGATGAATGTGGAGAAACTGAGCGCTGACTAGGATCAGAAACACGACATAAGTCAAGTAGAGAAGGTAAATGATTCGGGTTGTCTGGAAAGCGATTTGGAAAGTTGACTATTTGATTTAAGGATTGAGAAAGGTAAAAAGTTGTGGGCTTTAATGCCTGCAGAGTCACTGACACTAGAGCCAAGCCATTTAGTGTGATGAGCATTAAAGTTACCTACAACAACAATATTGGCTGATGGATAAAAAGAGAGAGCTTGGTCAATATGATCAGAAATAACATCAAGAAGAGTGCAGTCTTAAGATGAAGGAGAGCGATATAGAACAAAGAGAAAGGCGATAGAGTGAAGTGGTGCTAAACAAAAGCACATAAAAGAATAGTCTGTGGATTCAAACCTAGTTTCCCGACATATGGGTGAATTCTTACAAATGTAAATGCCCAGGTCAAGCATGTGACTATTGGAGTCTTTACGAATTAAAAGAAGATAACCATTAACACTAAGATCGCAAGATGAGACAGCCAAACTTATATTAATGAGTTTACTTAATAATACTTACTTTTTAATTGTTTAAAATTACAACTCCTTTATCGCAAAGAAAATGATTCTAATCCAGTGTTTCATGTTTAAAATTTTATTTCATTTAAAAATATAGCGATGATGATTATGTTATATTAACTGTCCATTAATTCTAAACAGACTTAAAAATAAAGGCAGAAATAAAAAATTAATGGCCAATAAAGATAAGGGAGATGTTTTAAAAAATTTGATGCATTTTCCAATGCATCATATTCTTTGTCTATTTTTATATGCCTGCTATGGTCAAAGCAAGAAAGAAGCATAGTGTCGATGCTTCTTTCCTTGAAAAAGCAATATTTTAAAAATCTGATCGTCATTATAACAACTACACTATCACTATTTTTATACTTAAATAAACATGAAATAAAAATATATTATGGTTTATAGTCTAATATTTAACTCTCCGAAATAAATTTAAATTTACAATCATGAATTTTGAAACAATAGTTTAATACTGATTAAGAAAATAACAATTTTATTTTGTTCAATTCAAAAAAAAACCACTTGATGACATGGTGGGTGCAATATACTACCAAAAATATTTTTCTCTAAAAGTATCAAGTCGCATCTCAAAAGAAGCAAAATTTCATTAAAAGTTTAAAAAAAAAAAAATTTAATAACATTCAATTGATTGCAAAAAAAAATAAAATAATAACATAAAACATAAATTGATATTTTAACATAAATTGATATTTTAACATAAATTGATATTTTAACACATTTTAAAACAGTTTGTTAACAACATCTTTTTTAAGAAGATTATAATTTGTAAAAAATCGTTATTTATGCTATCTCCAAAACTTCATTTCTTTTGAGGTCCAAAATGATATACTTTAAAAATTTTTTTTTTGGTAAAATAAGACACCCACCATGCATTGGTTGTCTTAGTTCATGAATTTTTTTTTAAACCAGCTCTAAAAATAGATTTCAAATAATTAGAATACAAAACTTTGCAAAAAATTTTTTAGTCATTGCTTTAGTGTACATACATCGACTGAGAATTTGAAAAAAGTATTTTAATATTTATTTAAAAAGGCATTACAAATTAATTTAATTTATATTAAAAAAACTATTAAATTAAATTACACCACATTTTTAGGTGAAATAGTCAAAATAATGAATAATAATTTATGTTTAAATACGGTATACAAATAAGAAAAAATTATTTGTAAACACATACAAATAATGAATAGCAAAATTAAAAGCATTTTTAAAATTTAAACAATTCTTTTTTGTTCATAAAATACTTTAATGAAAAATCAGGAAAACACTTTGATGCATGAGTTATTTAGAAATTTATTAAAACATTCATTTGCTGTTTTAATTTTATTAATTTTATTTCGAATTTAATTGAAACATTCTTTTCGCCTTTTTTAATGTAACTATTTTATTTAGAATTTAAATAGTTTTTTGTTTTGTTTTTATTTGGATTATTTTAATTCAGAACTTAAATAAAATGCTAATTTTAATGTTTTTATTATCTTATTTATTTTTTTGCTTTTTTTTATTTTAATTATTTCATTTAAAATTTATTCAAACCATTCTTTTCACTATTTTTACATTAATTTAAATAGCAAATAAAGATGAATTTTTAAAATTACAAACGCCAGCCTAACAAATGACCATCCAGCATGTGCTTTTTTATGCCTGGCATTAAATTTTGAATTGAAAAGACTGATATATATATATATTCTGGCCTGAGCAGGAATTGCAGGCAACCCCCTGCGCCCGCCTCCACACCCTGTGAGTCAGTTTACACAGGCAAAGTACATCTTTTTTTATCCAAACTCATAAAATACAAGTTTTGGTAAGTCTACTCTACACTGACCATTTCTATACTTATTTACTTCAATAATATTTAATACATGGCAGAAAAATAATTTATTTAAAAATTGCTTTTAGAGCAAAAAAAATGCCCTAAGTATGCATACTTTTTTGCATAATTTAGGTTTATTAGAAACCTCACCTGGTAATAATTTTTTTGCTAGCAATTTTTATTTTTATTTTATAATTATTTTGATATTTTTTGTTCAGCTTACTTTAATAGTATTTCTGTTAAAAATTTATTGTGCAATTTATTGGGAGTGCAATTTATTGGGAGATAAGGAAATGTTTGTCTATTAATTTTAATAAAGCTTTTCCAATATTCGTTGGAACTTTTTTGAAGTAATAAAAAAGTGGGTTGAATCAAATTATACTTCTATTTTGCTTTTTTATAATTTTTAGCTCAGAATATTTAAATCTGATTTTTTTAAACCATCTACGCATGTTTAGAAAAGTTTAAAATATTTTCATCATAAGAGTTTTAATTTAGTCAATTGTAAATTGAAATAGGAATTTGTTTTAAGGTTTGAGGGGGTTGTCTAAAAATATGTACAATAATTTAGAATTTCTTTTATAAAATTATAACAAACAAATGACCAAATTAAAATACTCCAAATTCTTAAGAATTCTTTTCGCTATCAATTTTATGAAAAACTTATACAATTAATATCTTTATGGTTGCAAAATAACTACATTTATTATAAATAATTAACTATAATATATAACTAACTATAATATAATATATAATATTAAAAATAATAACTACAGTTATTATAAATATTAATAATTTATTATAACGATTCCCAACTTTCTATGAAATATTTTTTCTATAATTTGAATTTTTTGATACTCTTCCTGATGAACCTACAATTAGTCAAATTAAAATTAGTTACTTTACTAATATATATATATATATATATATATATATATATATATATATATATATATATATATATATATATATATATATATATATATATATATATATATATATATATATATATATATGTATATATATATATATATATCAAGGGGTATTCTAGAAAAAAATTTGGACGGCGTTACCCCTCCTGTCACGAAGAATTTTAGCAAAAAATCTGAGTTTTTTCACACAAAAAAATATATACATATTCGTTGTAAAAACATAAAAAAAAAGAAGGTCCTCAAATAATAATTTGGGCGGCGTCCAAATACGGTCGATGCTGTCGATAACATTCTAGAATAGCCCCTGTATATATATATATGAAAAAAATATATATATATACAAATGCAGCATTAGACGCATACAGATGATGTCATAAAAAAAAAACAGGAAGTTGTAGGGGCTTCAGTACATACATTGACTATCTTAAAGTCTGCTGCTACAAGGAAGTGCCACCACATCGACTGAGGGTTTGAATTGGGCAAGCAATATATCATTTAGGAAAAGAACAAAAATTTATTTAAGTTTTTAAACTTTTTCTGGTTTGGATTCTAAATTATCGCTCTCTTTAAAACTACAGTTTATGGAAGAAACTTTTTGACTACCATACAAGACTATATATATGTATGTATATATATATATATATATATATATATATATATATATATATATATATATATATATATATATATATATATATATATATATCAGGGGCTATTCTAGACCGTTTTCGACAGCGTCGATTGTTTTTTTTTAGTCCTCAAATTAAAATTTGGGGACCTTTTTTATCTTAACGTTTTTTACGGCAAATATTGTTATTTTCGGGAAAAAACGGATGATTTTCTGCTAAAGTTTGCCTGAATGAGGGGGTACCGCCGCTCAAATTTTTTTCCTAAAATAGACCCTATATATATATATATATATATATATATATATATATATATATATATATATATATATATATATATATATATATATATATATATATATATATATATATATATATATATATATCTGTAACTGTGTGTGTGTGTGTATATATATATATATATATATATATATATATATATATATATATATATATATATATATATATATATATATACAAAGATTTATAAAATAACAAAAAAAATTACAGTTTATTTATTGTTGTAATATTATACACATTGGATTGGTACAATGATTTCTTCGCTGATGGTGTCTTAGATAATAGCAGTTTCTAAAGAAAAGAAAAAAAGTGCGTCAAATAGAAGCTATGGAAATTCACTTTAATATACACACAGTATCAAAATTCACTTTAATATACACACAGTGTATGCCAGTACACTATACCAACCTATGCACTCCATGCAAAACATTCTAGCAAGCCTTGATGCAAAAAAATAAAAAAATATATATGGTGAATAGGTTTTCCTATCAATTTCAATACTTATTTTGCTGTTTCTTACATTTATGGTTTCCTAAATAGTTATCTTGCTGTTTCTTGCATTAATAGTTTCCTAAATTCTTGCTAAAGCATAGAATTTTTTTTCAATTTAATTTTAACCAATATAGAAAATTAACTTTTGTGTTCCAAACATTGATTTCAAGTTAAAAAATCAACCATAAAACATTTTGCGTAAATAAAGAGTAAAATAAAAAGAGTAGAGATTTTTGACCTAATTAAAAAAACTTTTTTTACAAAAATTAGTAAAAAAAAATCGAGGACTTTAGTTTAAAAGTTAAATTTTTTAAAGAAAAATAAGAAAAATTTTCTACTCAACTTTTCTTATTTTTACAAAAATAAAGAAAGTTGAGTAGAAAACAACTTTTAACTACTTGGTTTTAAAACTCTAATAACTTTTGAGGCAAATAATTTTTGAAGAACAAATTTAGGAAAGTACAAAGTTTTTGTAACGCTTTCTTGGCTTTAATTGCAGTTTATTTCAAGGCATTAAATTTTGATAATACCATTTAATCACTCTCAACACTAAATGCAATCTTATCAGCATCTATTTTAAGTTAATATTTTTGGCAGGCCTTATTTTCTTTATGATGACCCTTGGGTAGAAATCTTTGACAAATGTGCTTATAATGTACCTTCCTGGATCCAACTGGCATGAAATCTTTTATTCCTTTTCAACAATTTCAAGTCAAGCCTCACTCCTCTCCATGGTTTTTCTCCCATTGTGCTGCTGCAACTTCCAAAAAAAAATCTTGTATACTATCTCAAAAATTAGGCTCTAGCTCTAATTTTTGAGTCTTTTGGATTTTCGCTCTTGACATTTACAAAGCTTTTGATAAAATTTGACATACTGTTATTTTCTCCGTAAGCTTTCTTCTTATGATGTATCAGGTAACATATTTAAGATTATTGAATTATTCTTTTCCAATCATAATAAAAAGTAAGTTTCTAATCATAATAAAAAGCAGTTCTTCATATGCTTTAACTTCACAGGTTCCTCAAGGTTCAATCCCTATTCTCTTTTTAATTTACATTAACCATCTCCTAGAAATTCTCACATATTGGCATTGTTCGCTGATGATACTACCACTTATTCTTGTCTTGATAAGAAGCCAACACTTTCTGATTTGCTTGGAGGGGGCATTTGAGCTGGAAAATGATCTCACTTCTGCTACAGCATAGGATTCTCAGTGTCTGGTGAACCTTAACTCTGATAAAACTGATAAATTTTTTTCAGCCAATCATTATCAAAATAATTTAAATCTTCCTATATTTATGAATGGTAATGTACTTGATGAGTCATCTACCCTTCATCTTCTAGAATTAACTCTTACATCGGATTTTTTTGGAAACATATATCAAATCCATTGTAAAATTAGCATCTGCTTAGGTTGTGTTTCTTTATTGTGGTCGCTACATTTTTACTCCAGATTCTATTCATTATCTTTATAAATTTCAATTTCATCCTTGTATGGAATACTGTTCCCATATCTGGGGCAGATCTTCTGATGTCTTTTCTATTTTAGACAAGGTGCAAAAACGCATTTTAAACATAGTTGGACCTGCTCTTGCAGCCATCCTCCAATCATTATTACAACGTCATTATGTTGCTTTTCTTTCTCTTTTTTATAAATACTATAATGGGTACTGTTCTAAAGAGCTAGGGTCTCCTGTCTTTTAGGAACTAAATGACAACCATGTGTTGCACATTTTTTTCAACTATGCATTACTCTTTGGTAAGTTTAAAATGTTTAAAAAACATTAACTTGAACAAGGACTTTAAGATTCCTGTCCAGTACTTGATATTGAAACCAGGTTTAACAGTATATTTAAACTTCTGAATCGGTCATGTAAAAATTGTACAACAATATCAATGGTACTTATGCGATAAACAAAAGGCAGATGTGCAAGAGCTCTTCCTCAAGGCTATGAAAGGTATTTTTAAAAAGTGCATTCCATTCTTAAAACCAATTTTGGATGCAACAATGCTACTTAGCACTGACACCACTGTGGCTATCAGTTTAATTAAACTTCGTATTTATACTTTAAAAGGTTAATTAGAATCATTAAATTGAAGAAAACTTTTAAGGCTAAATGTAGAGTTTTACCAACTTTCCAAATCCTATTTTAGGATATTTTTATATATTGTTGTTTAAATCATAAACTTTTTAAAGTTAATTTGTTTCTCTAAGAAAAACAATATTCAGTAAGATTTTTAAAATTTTTTAAAATAAAATTTTAAAAATCCTACTCAAATAAACCCAAGTGAAAAAGACAAGTTATTTGAGTTTTTTTTTATTTCATTGTAATTAAACTTTGAATAAATGATTCTATTATAATTGATTTTTAATTGTTCAAGTGTTAAATAACTCGAATTTAAATAAATAAATATGTTCGACTGTTTACAATATATAGAATTAATTTAAGTAATCATATTATTTTATTTATTATTCATTTATTGTATTAATAAAGTAATAGGTAAGTTTAATTTCTATAGTTGAATTATACAATTGTATGTTAGCCAAATTACTTTTCAAATAAAAAACATTATATTACCATATGTTAGGAATTAAGTCATGCCGACCTAAAAGTGTTTGAACTCAACAAAAAATCGTTGACCTCATTATATGATAAGTGTTTGAACTCAAAAGTGTTTGAACTCAACAAAAAATCAATGACCTCATGTTTTATGATACACTTTTGTGTCAATTTTTTTTTGCCGACCTGATGCCAATCTCTAACAGTTTAAGGTTGGCAATTTATTGGTAAACTCATTTTTCCTAATTCCGAGGGCTGTATGTTTGAGGAACTTATAATAATTTTCAATTTATTGAAGAGAACATGCACAAGATTCAAACTGACTAGGGTCATTTGAAAAAACTGTTTGAATTCTTTTTCTATTGTTTACATCATAAAGTTACATCATAATTAAGTAGAGCTTAATTTTTTAACATTTATTTAAAAATATAAAATTACAATTAAATTATATTTTAAAAAATATTGCATATTTAATGCTAAAAATGTAAATCACTTTAATTTTGTTCTTAAAAAATGTCAGTTTTAAACTTGAGGTTAAAAAATGAGATTAAAAAGTTAAAAGTTGTTGAAAATCTATCATCTAAAGTAAATTTCAGAAGTATTTTAATTTTACAGAATAACTACACAATAAACAATAATCTATTAATCTTTTCAATAAAAATATTTTTATATTTTCTCGAGCTTTCATTCACCCTTTTAACTGACTTATATTGGCATGGAAAAGATGCAGAGGATAGTCTATTTAAATAATAATTGAACTTATTAAAAACAAAAAATATAAATTACTTTGCTTTCAAACTCTTCTAAAGCTGTAACAGATATATCTTGACCTGCATTTTTGTTCACAGCAAAGCTCATCCATCTTGCTACAATATCAGCAGATTCAAGCTTGTAAGTTTTACAAAGTTCACATACTATAATAAACCCAAAATTAAATAGTTAACAAAATTAATTTGCATAAATGATTAGTAATATTTGCATAAAAGACATTTAAAAAATTTCTTTAAAAAATAAGGACTTAGACAAAAAAAAATGTTTTGCTTAAGTCCTTCTACTTCTACATTTTAATTTCACCAATAAATTTAAAATGAAATGTTTAACTAAATGAAAAAACAGCAAAATGCGTGAGTAGTTAAATTAAACTTATTTTAATATAAATAAAAAACAAATGATACTTTATGAAATTAGATAAAAGTATTTTATGAAGTTTATATTTAATTTATATAATTATTGTTTATATTTTATGAAATTAAATAAATTAGTAATTAAGTAAAACTTATGATATATATTTGTAATTAAGTAAAAGACCAATAATCAAAAGGGTTAAAACAAAGATAACTCAATAAGATTAACATGCTAAAAATAAAGATAAATGTTTAAGATAAACATGCTAAAAAGAGTCAAGCAAAGTATTCTTTAACCTAGTATTATCACTGGTCAGCTAACCCATAAGTAGGATCAGTTAATGTATGCATGTGAAAGGGAAATGAAAAGATCTAAAGATAGTAAAAAATCCTAAAGTAGAAAAGAAGAGAGGGTTTGATGCTGACATACCTACATGAAACCTGTCAAAAATAGAATCATGTTAGTGGAAAAAATATACAGAACCTAAAAGATTATATTGTTATCTATTCACAAAATTTTATATTGCTCTTATATTGCTTATCTATTCACAAAATATCAAATGAACAGAAGGCATTGTGTAAAATAGCTATAAATCCGATGCCTCAAACAGCTTTTGTTTAAAAATGAAAAAATGCAAAAGTGTTACAAAAGAAAAAAAATCACAGAATAGACAGTAACAAATTTAAGGTGGGGTAATATTAAAGCTTTATTTTCATTCCTTTGCTCTTTTTTATAACATTGGAAACTTTCTCAAATGAATACAAATTTGGTTTACATGACTTATTTTATATAATGATTAATAAAATACTAAAAAAGAATAATTAATAAATGAGAATTAACGTAGTAGTCAAGTTCAGATTGGGCATTGACAAGATAATAACACCTCTAAACATTTTTTTGTAATTTATTAAAACTAAATTTATAAATTATTTTAAGAAATATAACTAAACTTAGTTAAAATAGAAATACCCTATTTTAACTAAATTAAGTTACATTTCTAATGCTGGATATTCCTATTTTAAGTAAGTTAAAATAGAAATATCCAGCGTTGCATGTTTGGCAAATAAGCAACAAATAATAAGACAAAGAACCTTAGTGAATAAAGAAAGTAAAATATAATTGTCAAAAAATGGGTACAAAGTTAAAACAAACAATATTTTAAAAATGATGCTTCGATGGTGATTTTTAGGATATTTTATTTGATTTACACATTTAGTTAGCACAATAAGAAAAAATAATTTAAAAAAATTATAGCTAAAATATTTTACAAAATTACACTCGTACACTTTTCTAACACAGCTAGATTTCCTTCAATATCAATGCCAAAATCACCAAACTCAGATTCTAGCTCTTTTTCTAAATTTTGGTCCATTGTAATGTTTCGCGCACAAAATTTTCGACAACTGCGATAAAAGCATAAAATTAACGACGATACTGCGACAAAGATGTATATCGTCGTTAACTACGATCAGTAGCGTATTGATATTTGTGGTGATTAAGTTGTGGCACAATTATCAATTATCGTTTAAATAAAATAAAACATTTAATATTACAGTAGAATCCCGTTATTTTGGACCCTGCATACGTTGTGCTTTTACGCCATAAGTAAGTTATTGTTCGACTAACTAAAAATAATCGAAAAACTTCGATTATTTTTATATTTAAAAAAAACTTTTTTTAAATGTAAATTTCCGTAAATAAAACAATCAATGGTCAAACGTTAATAGCAAAAAACATCATTATCATCATCTTCATCATCATCATTAATATCTATGTCTGGAGGTTTCAATAAATCTACTGCTTCTTTTGGAAGCTTGTTTATTTTTTTTTTATGCAGTACTCTTTTACTGGAGATAACAGGATCAGAATTCAATAAAAAAAAGTTAAAGATATCAGCATTTGTGTCCTTTTGACTACATTTTCTAGAATAATTCTCTCTATACCTTTTAAAGTCTTGATTGCAAGCCTCAGTCAGTTGTCAATTGGCAACAATGCAGATGATATAATTTCAGGACCATGTATAAAGTATTTATGCAATGTAGGGGGCATGCTGTACCATGGATACTTTTCAACAACGTATCTTGCTGTGTCAAGAGCAAATAATCTAAATTTATTTATATCAATATCATATCCACTCGCCACTGCTATCATAATTGTATGCATTTTTTTAATTAAAACTATATCTATATTTGTTATAGCAGCTGAAATTTCTGCCTTGGCAAAGAAGCGTCTAGCTGTATTTCCATCATTCGTATTGCCAAATCCTGGTTTTGATTTATCGATAATCAAATCACGCTGTTCTCAAAATTCTTTCTGAATTCGAGCTTTATTTTTTGCAACAATTTCTTTATCATTTCCACGAGTTTGCCACTTCTTGATTGGTAGTTTATAAGCCAAGTGCAAAATGCATTCGAACATTCAAATCCACCCATGTAGCCCAGACAAACCAAATCCCAAGTTTTCAGTTTTGATACTCCTCTGAACCATTTGCTCAATATCATTAAATTGCTTTGAGGTTGCCTCGCATATAAAACATTTTTGGGTGGAAGTAGTTTCTGTCAGAGCATTACATACTTTGTCATCTACCATACAAAAGTGTGAAATACTTCTGCTTGTCTTTCTTCGATTAGGCACTTTGTCTTCACAATTCTTTTTATTTGCTCATCTACTCTATTCTTCTCAGCAATTGATTGTATCTTAGACCCTTTTAAAAATTCAATTTTTAAAGATTAACAATATTTTGTGGATGCAGGGTGTGGATTCGACCAAAAAAAATTTCCACCAGAAACAAGACGAAGAGGGACGGTGCATGTTAGAAAAACAGCTGAATCACTGGCTTTAGAATCACAAAATGCTTGTTTATAGGAACTATTCCCTGAAAGCCATCAAACCTCTATTTTGAAATTATTGAAGCTGATTTAATTCTTCATTCTGAAGAGTCCTAATAACAGGCTTCACAGCTAAAAGTAAGCGCTGTATTGTGTGGTTCAGTAAAGATTGTAAAGAAACAGAAGCATAGGTTTCTGTTACACGAATATCAATAGGATAACATAATTTCTTGGCTGCTTGAACCTTTTTGTATAAGGGAAACCTTTCAGGTACAATTTTTCTTAAAATATCATGTTGATATCTAGATAGTTTTGCTTCGACCAAAACACTTAAAGCATCTTCACGTGACATTTGTTTTTGTGGTTCAATTATTTTCTTAAATGCTTCTCTATATTTATTTGCACGTTTGGGACTTTCTGTAGCTTTTTTCAATAGTTTTGATGCATTTAACATTCCTTCAGTTCTTAAACTTATTTGAGTAGCCTAAGCCAAAACAGATAGAGAATGAGTCTTGCTTAAAACTTTTGATTTCCTTCGGATCGTTCGTTCACAAAAATTTGAAGTATTATTTTTCCTTTCGTTTCTGCAAGTTTTGCTCACTGTATGCTTATTTAAAAAAATACACTGTAAACTGTTTAACCAAAACTTATTGTTTTTTTGAAAAACTTCTTATATCCTGTGTGATTTTATCCAACGAGATTTATACTGTGACATAAACAAAGACAGTGGTTGACTTAACGCATTTAAATGTTTTTCTTCGCATTCTGTAAGATTTTTAATTTCTTAAAATAATTTTTCTGGATAAACCTTTCAACTTTTGAAATCAGCGTTAAAGAATTGATGCAGGTAAAAAAGGGTCACAGATACTCTTAAGAAATCAAAAAATTTGCTTTAACACTTGCATATGCTACTTGTTATGTTTAATTTTTAATACTGAACTTATTTTGAGTTTATTTTTTATTATGAGCATAATTTAATTTAAAGACTATTAAAAAAATATACAGTTGTATGTCAGAGCTGCTCTGCGTTATGATAATACTACTAGATCGTATGAAAGCTTTGCGAATTTTGGAAATGATATTCTAACATATGACATATAGCATATAACATATAACATATGACCCAGATAACATATAACATATGACCCAGATAAGGTTGCAACAGAAACACTTGTTTTTATGGAAGTTGGTATAAAATTTCATTGGAAATGTCCTATAGGCTACATACTATGTGACAAAATTTCAGCAACAAATATAAGTTTTTTTTATCTAAAATGCTATAAAATTATTAATCTCTTATAATCTGAATGTTTTAAGTGTTACATGTGATAAACTTATTTCAAATTATAGTGTCATGAAGAATCTTGGCTCATTATTTGGTATTAAATCTAAGAGATGTGTTGGGGTTTTACCCATCCTACATACAATCATCCTATATATTACATCCCAGATCCTTCTTATATGCTAAAATTATCTCAAAACACTCTGTGTAGCATATGCATCTTTGTTGATGAACAAAATTAATATATAAAGAACGGCAACATTAAAGCATTGCACAAACTAAAAAAAGAAGGATTAAAATTTGGAAATAAACTTAGCAATTATCATATTGACTTTCATAGGCACAAAATGAATGTTAATTTCTAGTGTACACTGATAATACTCATATGGCCAGCTGCACATTAGAAATAAACTGCAAGAAGGAAAAATTAGATAATAGCAACAGTCCAACAGAACCAACGACACGGATTTCGAAGCGGAGAGGCACAATCTTCAAATTTTTAAATAATCCTTTCTATTTATAATTTAAAAAAAAAAAGGTCGTTTAGAAAAAAAATGGGGGTACGTGTTCCCCCCCTCCCCTTATCCAATATGCTTGTTTTATTTAAAAGTTTATAAAAAATATACAATATACAATACAAAATACCATGTACAATACTATTTTTATGTCATTTATGTGTCAAAAAAGAAAATAGTTTTACTGATTTTAATCCTTTACTGTCAGAGAAGAACAATATGAAACTATCTAAGAGCAGCCGTGGCGCAGTGGTTAGAGTCCTCACTCATATCCAAGAGGTCTGAGGTTTGACACCAGCTCCAGCCCAACAAGCGACATTGGTACGGAAGGAGGCGTGAACTTCCTGTTAAATGCTCTTCCGCGGTGGTCTGTGATAAGACCGCAAGGACTTTTGGGAGCGCCTAAATAACTAAAAAAAAAAAGGAACACATTTTTCTCTACTTAGACCGTCAAACATCAGCAGAATTGATTTTCATTACCTGAAACCTAAAATCAAATCTTTTCTTTCTCATTTCCATACGCGGTACAAAAAATGCCTATATACTTTTAAAAAATTTGTAGCTAAAGGTTTTTCATATCTTTCCGACAACTACATTTCAATTTAAAAACTTCACAATTCATCATCTAAAAGTGAAGGAAGCTTTTATTCATCAAAGGTGCCAACAAAAAAGCAAAAAGTTAAAATAAAAAATAAACCATTTAATGAAAAATCAACTAGAGCACAGCAAATCTTATGTTCAAAAATTCTATAATAATTTGAATTTGATGCAATTACTAAGGTTGCTTCTCAACAGGGCACAACTCTGGCAAAAGTGACGTCATTTAACTAATTTGAAAAAATTGCACAATGTGCATTAGACGCAATTTAGTAGAAAAAAAAACTTCGGATGTTTTAGCGTTTTTATTACTGCTTAGTTTATTAGATTAGTATCGTGCCATGAAGAGCGCACTGCAAGCAATGCCAATATTTTGGTAGTTGCAGCTCATTTAATACTGCAAATTATTAAAAATAATACCATCAATAGAATCATTAAAAATATACCTAAAGCCCTCTAATGACAAATTATTATATGACTAAGAACTAATCTATAAAGGATTCGAAGCAGCGTATTCTTTTTTTAAAAAAATAAATCCACAGGATATGATAAAACCTCAAACAATATAATTATTTTTAACAAAACTAGCTTAAGTTAACCTCTGTTTCATTTACTGAAACTCTTCATAAAGAAGTCCTGATGCTCTCAAAATACCTAAAATAATCTTAATTTACAAAAGCAACGATCATTCGGACATTACAAAGTATAGACCTATATTATTACTTTACTATTCTGAAAATTGTTTGAAAAGGTAATTTATAATAGAATATTGAATATTTTACCAAAAATAACTCATTCTAGCCAAAACAATTCGGATTTCAGAAAAATCACTCAACTGAGCATGCAATTATTGATATAGTAAACCAAATTTACTTTAGGAGTAAAAAACAAATTTGCAATAGGAGTATTTATAGATCTATATAAAACATTTGACCATTGCATTCTCTTAAAAAAAAATAAACATGTTATAAATAATAAAACCTATTCATGGATTAAAAGTTATCTCACAGATAGAAAGCAATATGTACAGATAGAAAGCATTATGAACACAAAGCAATATGTACAGATAGAAAACATTATGAAAACAAAATGTATAATCCGGAATATATCTTATCAATCAATCCTTGGTCCGTTCCTATTTTTAATTTATATTAGCGACTTTTGTAATGCATAATTAAAACTGAACTCAAAAATATTTGATGACAATACAAATTTATTTTCTCACCAATAATGATATTAAACATCTATATACAGATATGAATATGGAATTAAATAAAGATAACGAATTGTACTCTATTCCATAAACACAAGAGTTAAACATTCCTTATAAGTTGCGTAAACTTTATTTAACTGATAAAATAACTAAAAAGCAAGCAAGTATAAAATTTTTAGAAATTCTTGTAGATGAAAATTTATACTGGCTTCCCCCATAAAAAATTACCAAAATTTTTGGCGTAATGTCTCAAGTTCGACTATAGGTCAATATGTTATGTCTCAAATTAATATATTTTGGACTAATCCACTGTTTCATAAATTATGCAAATATTTTATGGGAAAATACGTAATCAGCAAAACGTTAATAGGATAAACAAAAAATGTATAGGATACAAAAACACGCTTGTTGTATCATTTACCATAAACATAAACGAGAACATGCAAAATCTCTTATGAAAGATATAAAAATGATGGATGTATTTGAAATAAATATCTATCAGTATCTGATTTTTATGTATAGATACAATAACCTATTGCTAGTAAACTTTAACAACTTGAAATAAATTTAAATGAAAAGTATAATCTAAGATCAAAAAGAAATAACAAGTATAAATTGCCCCGGAAATGTAATAAATTTTCAGAATGTTGTATATCTTATCGAGGATCTAAATTATGGAATGGCTATCAAAAGGAATATAATTTTTTTTTTTTTTTGCTTTGGTAAAGATAATATTTATAATATGTTAAACAAAACAAAAAATGTCGACCATTGCGAATTGCAAATATAAAGAAGTCTGTTAGGCTTCTAAAGAAAAAAACAAAACTTTTCCCTCACATTTTGTCAAACAGTCTAAGAGTGCAAAAAAATATCTTCGTCCTCTTAATGTATTAACCTCGTCGCCAGTCAAATTAAACTTTACTTTATTGGCTACTTTTAATTTTATGGTTTCAATCTATTTTTTTTGCTTTTTATTAAAATCTTTGTGCAGAATTTTTATTACATTATTTTCGTAAGATAGGAGTTTAAATCAATAACGAGTTATTGACTAGCAAATGTATTTATTTCTAGTTATGGCATCAAAATGAATCGTCAAAATGAATCGAATCAAAATGCCATTCGTAGCTAAATCAGAGACAATATTTTTAAGATTCTTTTACGCGAATAAGTTGCTAACATTTTTTGTCTCTTTTTACTTGCTCTCTCATCTATTAATGTTAATATGATTGTTCTGTTTTATTTCTTTGCATCTTCTACATTTTGTACAAGATGTAGTAAATGTAGTCCGAATATCATTCTTACTAAAAAGCTCTCTAGAATTTCCTTTATTACTCTTTAAAATATCAGGACAAGATTTAGCTGAATCTTATTTTCTAAAAACTTTTGTTGCTCTTAGCTTAATAGCTACCGTAATAATAAACCGTAATCAGTAGAAAGGCGATACCATTTATTACGGTAATTTATACATTACGGACGAATTTGTACTATCTTCACCGGGAGAATATTTAAACGTTTTTGAAATAATTGTAATGACAAGAGAAATAATAAAGAGATAAAGGTTTTTATGATATGCATATTAGTAAGATTAATTTCATTTAGATATTAAAAACATGAATTAATGTTCGAATGTATTTAAAATAAATACATTAGATAATAAATACATTGAGTAAAATTTGACTTTCTATAAAATTTATTAAAGATACAAAAAAAATCTGTTGGTCAAGTTAAAACGTTTTTTAAATATTATATTTTACACTATATTATAGTGGTTTGTAGATATTACTTTTTTTTATTGTTTTCATGCTTTGTGCATTTACATTAAGAATTAAAAAAAAAAAGTTTATGTTAAAAACTCTAAAACAAATATTGATATTGAAGACTTTGAAGAATAATGCTAATATTTCCATTTGAAGTATAATATGATGATAGCAATCTTCTCATTTTATAAAAATTACTTTTTTTTTAAATTAGTGTTTAATAATGACAATAAAAGGCAGCAAAAAGGTAAGATTAAGAGAAAAATCTATTTTAGTAATTCAATTACTAATTTTGTAGCATTTTACTGTGTATTAAGTGCATCTCAATATAGAATCTTTCTTAACTTTGAGTTCATAATTAAAGAAATTTTTACCTTCAATGGAAGTATAGAAGTGATGTTATTTATCTGTTAGTTTTTATATATTCATATTTACTTTTTTTATTTACTACTCAATAGGCTAGGGCAGGTATAACTACATTTACAAAATGTGGAACAAAGTGAGATGGTTAATAGCAAAGACAAATATTTTTCTACCTCAAAATGATTTTAAAACTTTATAATTACTTTGTATTACAGTAGTCTACTGTAATACAAAGTAATTATGGAGTTTTAAAACCAGTTTAAGGTAGAAAATTTTTTTTTTTTTTTTTTGCTCTTAACCATCTCACTTTGTTCCACATTTTGTAAATGTAGTTATACTTGCCCTAACAGTCTAGCATGAGTCTCTTTGCATTGTTTTCTCCCATCTTCATTTTTTCCAGTTTACATTTTTCAGTTTTACTCTTTATCTTTATAGGAAAGAAACTTCAAATCTAATATCTACTTTTTTCTACTAGTTTCAAACCAGGGTTTTTAGTTTTTTTCCTAATCTCTTAACATTCCATTTTTCTCCTTTTATTTAATACCAGAAATTAGGAAACAAGTTATTTGGTTTGTTTTGTTTAAAAATATAATTAACACCAACTAATTACAGTTTGTTTGGTTTGTTATCAAGATACATTGCTTGCTTTATAATTATGTAATAAGTCTATATTAACTAATATTGCTTTTATATATATATATATATATATATATATATATATATATATATATATATATATATATATATATATATATATATATATATATATATATATATATGTATATATATTATGTAACTAATATTGTTATATAAATATCTAATAAACAAGCAAACCAATTTAATCATAATTTTAATTTGTTTAAAATTTAATTTTGAAATAATTTTAGTATTTATACTATTATATAAATATAGAATTCAATTTTTTTAAACAATACCTCATAGTACCTATCTGCTGCTGATTAAGCCTTTAAAGAAACAGTTTAACATGTGTGTTATTAGAACTTAGTAAATGCCATCATTATATGGCTAATTAAAGTGTTTAATCATAATTTCATGAATTAAATAAGAATATCTTGATTCTATACAGTTATTTTTAGCAATGTTGCCCAAAATCATTTTGCATCGTTAAACATACTGCATAAATTTTGGTGAAAGAGAAGAAGCAACCGGCCTTGTATGGGTATTCTAAATTGACAATTAAATAAATCTGAATGAATGAAATTTTCCTCATCAGCAAAGTGGTACTAGAGTTTTTGAACAAATTACAGTCTAACTTGTATATAATCTATATAGTATAATAGAGTTGCATAAAATTAATGAAATGTATTTATTACATATTTTTTTATACCATTTATACATTTTTAAGTGAGTTTCTAGGATCAATTATTGATTGTAATTGTTACTTGACAGATTTTTTGATTCTATTACAGGAGCTCTTTCCATTTAATGTAGCAAGAAAATGCCTTTCTGCAGGTACCTCATAATCTTTTCCGTGGCAAAACAGATTAAAAACCTGCTCCATTCCAAGAATATATGCAATTGTTGGACTAAGGCATTAGCTTATTTAGATGTGTCAATAGTTTATGATTGAAATTATGTTGAATTAAGTCCATATTGTGTTACAGGTGTTTTGAGGTGACACAAACACGTTTGACTTCATTTTCTTTTATGTGGTGAGATGATTAAAATGGAATCTTCGTTCAAAAGAAATCGTTTGACTGTATCTTAAATTAATTTTCAAAAAAGTCTAATATTATTACTTCAAGTACTTGATTGGTAGAAGCATTTAATCTTTTGCTTTCTCATTAATAGATTATTTGTCATTTTTAATGGTTTTGCCAATATGTCATGCATTTTTTTCAAATATATTATATTTTTATCAATTTTAAGGAAACTGGAAAACAGTTGTGTTTCATAGACGTTCCAACTGTAAAGGAACAAAAGTCAATAACTTTAGTTTTTTAGATTTTAAAGAAACATTAAACTTTACCTTAATTATTTGTTTAAGTCTTGTGTACCTTTGCAACACAACACCTCTTTTTAATTTATCTATTATTAATTCTAGAACAGCTTTTTTTTTGGTTGTGTTGTCAAGCTAACTCGAATTTTTTTTTTTGTATAGGTAATGTTTTTTTTTTTTTAATTTGAATAGCTAATTTTTTTTTATATAAAGTTTTTTAAATATGCATAACCAATGTTTATATGGCTGTCAAGGCTATTGATACTTGAACTAAAGTTTTTCTCTATAATGTAAGTCTCATTGAATGACACTTATTATAAACAATTTTCCAAGTTCTTCATTTTAGGCCTCCATAATTAAAATAAGTAAATTAAATAAAATAAGTAAGATTATGTCAGTACAATTTTTTAAAATTTACTCATATAATTCTACTACTATTATTTGTACCATATAATAATTGTATTAATTGAAGTAATTAAAAAATTACATTAAATAGGATTTATTTAAATAATTATATTAAATATAATTAAATAAGATTTAATTAAATAGTTATATTAAATATAATTAAATAAGATTTAATTAAATAATTATATTGATAATTAAACTATTATAATTTTATTAAATAATTATATTAAATATAATTAAATAAAAAATGAAGTTAGTAAATAATTATATTAAATATAATGAAATAATTATATTAAAAGTTTAATCTTATTAGTAATTTTGCAAAAATGATTAGGCCTGCCATATATGAAAATTAAAAAAAATGCATAGTGTTTCTTCTACAACTGTTGGTTTTGTTTAGGTTTGTACCTCATTAGATCCATTGCAATATGTGTCTTCTTTTTTTTTCTATTTATACTATTTGTTTATGGGTGTTCTTTCCAATGCATACATAATCTTTTTTTCCAGGAATAGTTTGATTAAATCTCTTGAGAAAACATTTTAACAGAATCTTTTTTGCCTTTAGACTTTATACAACTTTACCTTTATACAATGGAGAACAAGCTAACAATCATTTTTTATTAAAAATCTGTCTAGCCGTCTTTGCCTGGTAATCTGTAACTTCAATGTTATTTTTTACTTCTGATATTAACCAATTTGAAAAAAAAAAAAAATTTTAAATTATATATTACAATAAAATATTTAGATTTTAAAGCTACTTGCAATTTTGTATGTGTATGGATTACATCAAGCTTTATGTCATATTGGATATATTTAGTTGTATCTTTAACATAATATTGTTAAATTTAGACTCCCCTCCCCTCTTAACACTTTTTCTTTTATGTAATAAATCAAATGAATAATTAGTTATTATCTCAGCCCCTGCTAAAAATTATTATTAAAAAGGGTTATTAGTCATAAGTTGTAAAATGAATACTTAAGAGGAAGTTCAAATACTGAAATATACAAATAAACTACATAGAAGAAATTTTATGCTAAGTTATTGAAAATGTTTAAAAAAGAGCCCAGCAGTTCTAAAATTATTTTTTCTTGTTGTTAATAGTTTTTCTTTTTCATTTTGTCTGAAATTTTGAGTTCCTTATTAAATTGTTATTTTTCTAAAATAATATATATATACAACCCTCGGAATTAGTGTTGGCATTCAGCAATGCTGACCTAACTGCCGACCTGAAAGTGCTTGAGGTCGGCAAAAAATTGCAGACCTCGTTTCTATGTTTTATGGTCAGACCTTTGTATCAAATAATTTTTGCTGACCTGATGCCAACCTCAAAAAGATTGAGGTTGGCAAATTATTGCCAACCTCATTTTTCCTAATTCCGAGGGTTGATACATATGTATATATATATATATATATATATATATATATATATATATATATATATATATATATATATATATATATATATATATATATATATATAACATATATAACATATATATATATATATATATATATATATATATATATATATATATATATATATATATATATATATATATATATATATATATAAATATATATATATACATATATATACATATATATATATATATATATATATATATATATATATATATAACATATATAACATATATATATATATATATATATATATATATATATATATATATATATATATATATATATATATATACATATATATATATATATATATATATATATATATACACATATATATACATATACATATACATATATAACACACACATATATTTATATATATATACATATACATATATATATATACATATATATATATATATCTATATATATACATATATATATATACATATATATATATATATACATATATATATATATACATATATAACATATATGTGTGTGTCTGCATATACAAATATACATAAATATTCTATACAATTTTAGTTACAATAGTTTTCATGGTAATTTATTGGTTATGCTTGCTGCAGTGAAAAATCAGTTTCAGAGTTTTTTTACATCAGGCAGTAACACAAAAACACAAGCTAAATGCACTTCCAATAAAAGAAAAAGAAGTCATTCAAATATGAATCAAACAGTTTCTCCTCCAGATAAGCGTAAAAAATCAACCGATGATAATGATGAAAACAATATCGTTCCTACATCTAAATGGATCTTGAGCAATTTATGGAAATATGTAACTGGAGTGCATCCGGTAGATCATCAAAACCAGCGTGCAAAAAATTTTTCAGAAATTTTAAAAGTAAATGAAAAATATACCGATCTTTTATCACCTCAATGTACACAAAGAGGTACTTTTTCTCAAATATCCAATAAAAGTACATTGGTTTTTGATCTTACATATGACAACGATGTAATAGAAACCATTGAAAATGAAGATATTTTTGATTTATCTAAAGTATCAATTAATATTAGTGATATTCAATATCCAAATGATCAAACTTTAGGTTCTTTATGTCGTAAAGAAAATAATGAGAATTTCATTCGACTTGAGGAAAAAAGACGTTATAAAGAAATTCTTGAAAAGTTTACTTCGGTTTACACCTTTAGTAATCGGGATGTTCATCAAGAAGTTGTAAATATTTCAGAAATAAACGAATTTGATTATTCAAATAAAAACTTAAAGTTTGAAAAAATTGATTTGACATTAAAAAATGTGTGCAAACAAAACCGAAATGATTTCAAAAAAATAATACCAAAATCAGTTACATCACCAATCTCATCAATTACATCACCATTTCCGATGTGTTCTACGTCTAAAAATGAAGAAATTTTGAATATTACGATTGAAGATGATGCTTTAAAAACAAACCAAAGCTCATTACTTGATCTGTGCTGGATTAAAAAGTGGAGAGAGAATTTAGACCCAATTACCTTAGAGCGAGAGCGACAAATTAAAGAGGAAGAAAGGAAAGTTGCACGCATAAAACAAAATAAAGATGAAAAATTTGAAAAGTTTTTAAAGAATTTAGATGCAAAAAATGAAAATGAATTTCCTAATTTAACTAATGATATGTTAAAAATTATTAAAAGAGTACTTTCTCACGGTCCTCCAAATGAAGTAATAACTTGTGGATTTGATGCTAATATAACTCGCGCTGACCTGTCAACACTTCGAGATTCATGTTGGTTAAATGACGAAGTAATTAATTTTTATTTTAATTTGATACGCGAACGCAGTGAAAAAAAATCTAATATACCAAAAATTCATATCTTTAATACTTTTTTCTATCCAAAACTAGTTAAAACTGGGTTTGCAGGTATTAAGCGATGGACCAGAAAAACAGATATTTTTTCATATGACATGATTCTCATACCAATTCATCTAGGCATGCATTGGTGCTTGGCAGAGATAAATTTCACTAATAAACAACTTGTATACTACGATTCTTTAAAAGGTAACAATATGAGTTGTATAATTGCTTTGAAAGATTATTTGCTTCAGGAATCAAAAGATAAAAAGAACGAGTGTTTTAATTTTACTGGTTGGCAAGAGTTGATGCCAAAAGATATACCAGAACAGATGAATGGTTGTGATTGTGGAGTATTTGCATGTAAATATGCAGAGTATAGAAGTCGAAATGCAAAGTTTACTTTTTCACAGGAGAACATGCCCTACTTTAGACAACGAATGATTTATGAAATTACCAGTAAAAAACTGCTATGAAGTATTTATTGCATGAAATATTCGCTATTAAAATATGAAAAAATAATAATTTTAATAAGATATGTGTTATTAAAATAATTTTTTTGTTTTTTTTTATTTAATATGTAGATCGATAATCACTAAACTCTCCATTAAAATATTATATCTCCCTAAAAATATTATATCTCGATTTTTTATAGAGCAAATTTTGTTGTTTTTGTTTTTATATTTTTTATTGAATTTGTAGTTTTTTTAAATACAGATCTTTAAACATAATAAAAATACCGCCGACCAAGTTTTAGCAATAACAAATATGAAAAGGTTTTTAAATAATAAATTAAAATAAGGATAAGTATATAAACGTTGTACTTAATTTTTATTTATTTATATAATATACCTTATCTTTAGATATTTATCTATAATTGGCAGTTCAGAATACAACCGGTAATACTAGATGTAATAAATGTTTATGTTTGGGATGATATATGTTTGTTAGTTTTAAAGGACTTCTAACCCGATGAAATAATGAAAAGGTATCGTAGAGAAAAGGAATCTTCTGAATCAGATCTTGAAAAAGAGGTAGAAGATTACGTACCATACGTACCAATTAAAGAAAGAAAAAAACAAGCTCTTGCTAAGTACAAGAAAGCAGAAAAAGTTAAAGAAATAGAAAAAGAGAGCGACGACGAAGGAAAAAAAGACCAGGAGATTGAAATAAAGAAAAATGCTGTTAGTTTACTTGACCAGCATCATGTTCTTAAAGAGCAGGCGGAGTTGATCAAAGAAACTGAAATTGAAAAACGTTTAAAAGAAGAACAAAAAATTTTAGAAAGTATTGCAGAGCATAAAGCGTTAATGGCAGCCACAGAGCTTGCTCATGGAATTACATACACAGATCCTATAAAAACGTCTTGGGTTCCTCCTCGTTATGTTTTGAATTATTCAGAAGAAAGACACGCACAAACACGAAAAAGATATTGTATATTAGTTGAGGGACACAATGTACCTCCTCCTTTAAAGCGTTTTAAAGATATGAAGTTTCCGAGATCTATTTTGCAATGTTTAAAACGGAAAGATATAAAAAGTCCTACGCCAATTCAAATGCAAGGCTTGCCAACTGTGTTATCTGGTCGTGATATGATAGGAATAGCATTTACAGGGTCGGGAAAAACACTGGTTTTCACTCTTCCAATTGTTATGTTTTGCGTAGAGCAAGAGAAGGTGTTACCGTTTAGAAAAGGTGAAGGACCTTACGGTTTGTTAATAGCTCCATCTCGGGAGTTAGCAAAACAGACATATGATATAATTCTAGAATTCTCTGAATCTTTGCGTATGGACGGTGCTCCGACGCTTAAAATTCTTCTTTGTATTGGCGGAACATCGGTAAAAGATCAAGCGGAAAATATAAAACACGGTGTTCACATTGTTGTAGCAACTCCAGGTCGTCTTATGGATTTGCTAAATAAAAAGCTTATAACGTTGGATGTGTGTAGGTAAATTTCGTTAAATTTTCGTAAAATTTCGTTTAAATTTTTATGAATTTTTTTTTTCTTATGGTTTATAATATCTGGATTTAATTTAAAAGAGTGCTTAAAACAGAAAACATTAAAATGACGTTTTAAAAAACTTTAAGGTTTTTTTATTTTATTTAAAAGAACAATTTCCCTTCATAACTTTTTCTTTACTTCAGATTTTTGTGTTTGGATGAAGCTGATCGCATGATTGATATGGGCTTTGAAGACGATGTTCGAACTATATTTTCTTATTTTAAAGGACAGCGACAAACGCTTTTATTTAGCGCTACAATGCCAAAAAAAATACAGAACTTTGCCCGAAGTGCACTTGTACAACCTGTTACCGTTAATGTTGGTCGAGCAGGAGCAGCAAGTTTAGATATTATTCAGGAAGTTGAGTACGTTAAACAAGAAGAGAAAATTTTATTCTTACTTAAATGTTTACAGAAAACTGCACCTCCTGTACTTATTTTTGCTGAAAAAAAGTCTGATGTTGATGATATACATGAATATTTACTACTTAAAGGTGTAGAAGCTGTAGCTATACACGGTGATAAAGCTCAAGAAGAACGTCATCGCTCGGTTACTCAATTTCGTGAACGGAAGAAAGACGTCTTAGTTGCTACCGACGTAGCATCTAAAGGACTTGATTTTCCGAATATTCAACACGTGATCAATTATGACATGCCAGACGATATTGAAAACTATGTTCATCGTATCGGAAGAACCGGTCGATCTGGAAAAACTGGCTATGCCACAACTTTCATAAACAAGAACTGCGAGGAATCCGTCTTAATGGATTTGAAACACCTTCTTATCGAAGCTAAGCAGAAAGTACCGTTATGTTTAGCGGAAATGGAATCGAAGGATCCATATTTAAATCTTGGGGACACTCAAGGTTGTTCTTATTGTGGGGGTCTTGGTCATCGTATAACAGAATGTCCGAAACTGGAAGCAATGCAGACGAAGCAAGCGGTAAATATTGGCAAAAATGGATATCTTGCAAGCAACGCCGCTGACTATTAAATAATACATAAATTAAAAGAATCTTTTAAGTTATCTGTTTTAATGTCTCTCTTTGTTTTTCTCATGAAATACAAGTATTGTAAAATTATTATTTAGGCTTAAAATCACTTTTTATTAATATAATATAAATATTTATACAAATTAAATTCTCACCTTATAAACTTGTCTTGTCAGCTTATTAACCTATCTTGTTTGTTTAAGTGATTTTTTAAAAAAAAAAAAAATTTAATGCAGCAATTTTTTCACTTGGTGATGGCCCCTACAGTTTTGTAGCAATTTTTTTTTATCAATTTATATTATTCCAAAATCTTGCGTGTTTGTTTTTCAAAATTTTAGTAAAAATAAAACACTTCGCTGTTTCAAAAGTAATTCGATTTGGAAATGCGAATCAATTCGTGTTCATTCTCAAACAAACGAGTCTCGCAAAATTTGAAACATTTTAATGGAAAGTAATAGTTTATATTTAAAAAATCATTTCATTTACTTATCTTAACACAAAAAATCAATAAATTGGACATAAATATATAAAAAAATAAAATTAATAACATGTTATTATTTTCAATAAAATTTTTTTTTCAAATTTAAAAATACATTTCATTTTGCATAATCACAAAGTTTTCTTTTCAACTACAAATTTTAGAAGTATTCTAAATGCCCAAAAAATTCATCAGAATCACTACCATCACATGAATCTAGTTGGTTGGTTCAACTCAAGGAGGTTTAATAAACAGGAGACACGGTACTATATACTTTATATAAAACGCGCTGAAGCCAGTTTTGAAAGTCAGCCGCCATCTAGGTTAACCCAAAACATTGTAATGTTTTACGCTGAACTTTATATTTTATTTTAGTGGAAAACTTTGCTGAAATCAAGTTAAAATATTGATATAAATTATTGAATAATTTGCCAGTTGTTTCCAACGTTGTATTATACTACAAAGATATGTTTGCTAACTGATTATCGAGTTCAGTTCATTCCAAAGTATTGGAATATTGAAGTAGACATTCAGATCGTACACACGCTATTAGAAGACGCCGTATTTTAAACAGTGTGAACATCTAATGGAATAAAAAAAAATTCATATATATACACATATGAAACTCTAATAATATTGAAACAAAATCCAAATAGTTATATGGAAATGCACATAGTTAAGGTAAAATTAATTTGTTATGTGATCTTTCCGACCTGTAGAAATGACAATCCTTTTGTATAAAAACTCAGTATAAACACTCAGTGAGACTCACACTGAGTGTTTATACTCAGTATAAACACTTAGTGTGAGTATAAAAAACAGCTCTATATGATCATGGCTAAATTATCTATAATTAAATGATCAAAGCTAGAAATAAAACTAGAAAGAAGCTAAGTATTCTATTACTCTGGTGTTTCAAAAATGCCTGGTATGATACCATACTGAACTCTCGCATATGAGGGCCTAGATCTATCTATATCAGCTTCTTTTCACAAAGCTAATTTACTTCTTTTTTTTTCTTTGAATACAACTGCTGATTCACGAGGATCAGTAAAATATTTTCTACGTAGGGCAGTTTTCAACTTTTGTCAAATCTTGATATTTGATTTTTAATGAAGTTCTATATGCTATAACTCTGGTGATTTTTTTTATTTTATTAGTCAATATTTTATAGAATATATTTTAATGATATATATCAATGCTTTGTGAGTTTTCAATAAATTAAAAACAAAATTAATAAATAGTTTAAATTTTCTTTTCGCCAAAAAACCACCTTTTTGCTTTTTGTTACTGTCATGACTACTCTCAGTTAATTTTTGAATTGTTACAATGTGAATATTATTTTATTACTTTAATCGAATGTTTGGGTTCGAATAATCGAATTGGGTTCGAAAATAATAATCAAATTGGGTTCGAAAAATCGAATAATTGAGTTTTTGATGTTGAACATTCCACTCTTTTTTTCATTTACACAACTTTTCTATCCAGTTCATCCCATAATAACTCAATAGGGTTGAGGCCTGGACTTTGACGCGGCCAGGTCGTAACACGTAACAATTTTTTTTTTTTTTTCTCTAATTAATTTTTACATAATAATGAAGTTTGCTTAGGTTTAGTTTTTATTATCATCGTGCATCAGAATAAATTTGTCGCTGATTAATTGAAGCTTGGAAGGAATCATATTTGTTTGTAAAGTATCTTTGTAATGTTCTTTTCTCATAATGCCATTAATTTTACGCAAATCTCCCGCTCCATCCAGAGAAAAATAACCCTAAGCTATTATAGAGCTCCCACCAAGCTTTATTTTGGGAACGAGACATTAAATTAACAACCTCAGCAGATCTTCTATCATAAGTTTTTCTCTTGTTTCCCAAAACTTCATACTTTGATTCATTTGTTCAGAGTACTTGTTTCCAATCATCCATCGTCGAATTTTTGTGTAATTTTGTTGATTACAATCTCTTCTTGGAATTAACTTTTAAAAAATATGATCTTCAGACAGCAACACGATCATACAAATTTGTTTCTTATAGTCGTTGTTTGACTGTACTAACAGACACTTAATTATCTCGATCACAGTTAAAAAAGCTGATATTTCTTTACTGATGATTTTTATTTGTCGTTCATCAGTATTTGTTGTTGTACAAGAAGGACCTGGTCAATTTTTGTCTTCCAATCTTCCAGTTTCTTCGTTTTGACGAATTGTGCAACTAACTGTTGATTTTGTGAAAGTCAATTTTTTTCAATTTTTCTAACAGTATATCCTTCTTAAAACAAAGTAAGTAATGCTGCTCGTTTTTGTAGTCTTATTGGCTTGTCTTTAGATATTTTTTGTTTAAAAATTTTGAATTTACACTGAAAATGTTATGAATTTAAAAAAATAACCTTTGAATTTTAAATGTTCACAAGTTCAAAATGTTTTACATCTTTTCTTAAATCCTGCTTTGCGCAAGCAGTTAATAACAGTGGATCTGAAACCTTGTTTTAAGAATGAGCAAGCACTTTTATAGCATCTGGTACAGAGATTGAAGATATTTGGTTTCCGTTATTAATCGCATTTATGATTTTGTTAACTAAATTAGTTTGGAACCTGCACTTCAATGATATTATAACTCTTGATCCATCAGCTGCAGTTGTATTTGGGGGAAAAAAGTAGAGTGTGACCGATTTAAGATTCTCGATATTCGGATGGGTGGTGCAATTATCAATAACCAATGCTACCTTACGGCCTTTTAATACAAACTTTCTGATATTTTCTCAAACCCATTCCTCAAAAAGTTAAGAGGTCCACCTGCTTTATTTTTGAAAACCTTTTCTTTATTATTGATCATAAATATCAAACAAAGCATTCATTGTTTAATTATCAGGTACCAAAAACTTTATTTTTTTTATTTTTTTATTTTTGCCGTTTAATATTACAATAACTAAATATATTTTACAATTTTTTACATTAGTAACGACAGGACTTCTAGAAGATCATGAGGATCTTGTCATGAAGCCCTTCACAATATATGGTTAACTTTTAATAAAAATACAATGTCTGTAGTGAAATAATACCTCTATGCAAAAATATTTAAAAACCAAGATAAAATGTTAAAAAGCCAAGATAAAATTTTAAACCAAATAATATACAAAATAAAATAACAACAAAAACAAAACAAAAAAAAAAGGCAATTAAAAATAAATCAAGATATTTTCAATTCAAAATATAATTTTTCTAAGTTTCTGTTTGAATGAAGCAAAAGTCATTTGGGTTGAAAAATCAAAATTTGGTAAGACTGTTTTGTTCCAGAGATAAGGACTTCGGTAAGAAACAAAAAACTGGTCTTTGCTTTTACGACAAAAAGGGGCAATAAGACTGTTATTAATTCGAAAATTATATTTGTTTTTAGGTTTCATACAATAAAAATTTTGTAATACATTTGGCGACAAATTTTCTCTACATTTAAACATGAAACATAAAATATTAAAGACATTTAGTTGATATACATTTAAAATATTCATTTCTTTAAAAAGTTGTTTCGTGTGAAAAAACCGATTTTTAAAATTTATTACGCGAGTTGCGTGTTTCTGATGAAGGTAAAGAGATTTTAGCTTTGTTCTGTGAGTGCTTCCCCATATAATATTCGCGTAGTTTATATAACAATGTATAAATGAATAATATAATTGCGTTAACTGGTGTTTACTTAATATATTTCTTGCTTTATAGAGAATTCCGATGCATTTAGCAATTTTATTGGAGGTATTATCAATATGATTTCTCCAAGATAGGTTTTCATCAATATATACTCCAAGAAATTTAGTAACTTTTTCTCTTTTTATTATTATATTATCAATTAGAAGGTCTGGCATGATATGGGACAGTTTCTGGTATTTTAAAGGTGGATAAAAAAGTGTCCATTTAGTTTTTTCTATATTTAGAGACAATCTATTTTGTTTAAACCAAACAGAAACTTTGTAAAAAGCATATTAATATCTTTATGAGACAAAAACAAATTTGTGTCATCTGCAAAATTTATTGTTGTTAAATTTGATGATTTATGAAGATCATTTATGTATATTAAAAAAATAAGAGGACCAAGTATGGATCCTTGTGGAACACCACATGTTATATTCATTAATAGATGAGATATAGAATCTTTATTGTAAACAAACTGTTTACGGTTAGTAAGATAACTTTCAAACCATAATAGGGTTTTATCTTTAATACCATATGATATTAGTTTTTTTAACAGGATTTGATGATTGACGGTATCAAATGCCTTGGACAAATCAATAAACACTCCTAGTGTAAAACAAGAGTCTTTAAATGAGTCGGTTATATTGCGCGTAAGTTAAAGAATGGCATGCTCGGTTGAATTATTTTTTTTAAAACCAAATTGGTTTTCGTATAGAATTTTATTTTCAACAAGATAAGAGTAGATTCGGTTGTACATTATTCTTTCTAAAATTTTTGAAAAAACTGGAAGAACTGAAATAGGGCGATAATTTGTTATATTTGTACGATCCCCTGTCTTGAAGATTGGAGTTACTTTCGCTATTTTTAGTTTATCTGGAAAAGACCCTTGTAAAATGGATGCTCTGAAGATTTCATAAAGAATATCTTTTATAACATCGTATGAATCAATCACAATATTTGTGTTAATA